ATCAGAGATGTTTCCTGACTAAGATCACATGTAATCTGACATACTGTTGCTCTTCTGTTGGATTGGACAAGTCTGGCAACTCTCCTTTCAGTTCGAACCTCTAGCAGCTGAGGATGACCACATGCCTTACATTTAGACCTGCTTTTTTGTTTGGTAGTCCATTCTTTGTACACATGAACAACAGCCACTCTCAAACACTTCACAAGCAAAGCAGTTTTGCTGATACTTGTTCTACTGCTTCTAACACTCAATCATTCTACGTTTAAAGTCTATTAAATCACATCTACCCATACCTTCACATGCAATACCCTTCAATTGTCTATACAATCATCCAGCAATCCCTCTTATAATCTTGCCCTGTGGTGGCAATAGCATGACATCATAGCTGATTTGTGTAAACTTTGCAGATAGTCATAATAAATTGGCCACTCGGTGTATAACTGACATATCTAATATTTAGATAATTAATATATCCTGTCTATAAAGTTTTTGTAATAAGATATTTAATTTAAGTTTATGTATATGGAATTGCAAGATAATTTAACCAAGTGTTCTCTTATAAAATATTTCTACATTATTTATCATTTGAAAGCTATAGATTTACAATTAACTTATTTTTATCATCATATTCTAACAGTTATGATGTCATAATTTCTATTTAAGTTTATCTAGTAAATTGTTCTTTTCTTTAATTAGAAATTTATTTATTACCACTTATCAGAAATTATATTAAGGTTAAAAAAATAATAGAGGAAAACAAGAAAATAAACAATTGCTTTTGTTATGTAAATACAAAAAATAGTTGGATCTGAATTAGTGTAGAATTTCTATTTACTTTTTACTATAACAACATTTTATCTTTAACATCTAAATCTATAATGTTTTCATCTTCCAGATTTATACTGTATTTTTGCAGAATGACCAGCAAATGTCTATCCGCAGGAGACCATGAAATTAGATATTTCTGTATGGTAAAAACTGGAATGTCAGCTTATCCTGGGGAATGCAAGCATGTCATTTTCAGTGAGGCTATACATTCCTCTCTAGAAGATGCATTAAAAAAAACAAACAAGTTACATCACATAAAAACAAACAAATTTTTATTCTAAAACTGTGAAACTGTCGGCATTACATCAAAAACTACACTTATATGTTTAATTTCTTTATTTTGTCTTTTTTCTAACAACATAAAATACTCTTGAAATTCTGAAAGTGCTTTTTTTAATGTGTATTTTATTGTTATTTCATTCAAAAATGCAAAAACAAACATTAAATTTAGGAAATTTCCAGTAAATTATGTCAGCTTACACCTATAAACATCAGCTTTGTGTGAAATTTGAGAGAAAGGTGTTATTTTTAATATCAGGGTAGATGGTCAGTGTAGCCCACACTGCCTGATTACTACTAATGTCAATAAGTCATTAACTATTTCATTGGCTTGCAAACGAAAACTCTTCCTGATTTTAAGTCAATCAAATTACAATGTTATTATTTTATTGTACTCAGAAGAATGTTTTCTTTAACATTTAATTAACAACTAGTTTTGTTAGATCTGATTAATTTTATATTTTAGTTGCACTTTAACCAGCATGCCAGTAACCCCGGGGTTTCCGGCATACTGGTCCTCCCGTTTATATATGGCATTCCAGTCATTTCATGAAAATACAGTAGACATTAGCAACATTTGTAATCCCTGAAGAAGTACAGTTAATCTAAAAAACCTTAGAATTTTTTTATATAACTCCTAATAAAGTATTTTTATAGTTAAAAATTTTTTGTTAGAATTTTCTTGTGTTAAACAATAGCAAATATCAGTTAATCTTATTATTCCTCATCATCTCTTTAGTAAAAACAGAAGCAGTTTCATTGTACTATGATTTTACAGTCTTACAAAACATAATGTATTACATTTCTTGCTACATATTTCACACGTATTTTGTAACGTTTTAGTGAATTTCTTTAAAAATGATATGGCCATGAAAGCAATGGCAGGCCTTGCAGCTAGAGCCTACCAGGTCCCTCTATACATCTCATGACATCATGCTCTCAGTTTATTTGAATCCTTTTTTCTCCCTTTATATATTTGAAATTGCAAAAATTGTTCTTTTAGACTTCATAATTAAAATTTTATTATACAGATTCCAGCTTGACCCTTATACAATTTATACAGATGTGAGTTCCAGGGCTATAGCCCTGATTTCCTCTTCATCTTGTTAGCCTTGCTTGTGATTAATCAATGTTTATTGTATCATTAATACTGACATATTATTATTTACTAATATTGTTATAGAAATTTTATTTAATTATGACTATACTTATCTTCTTAGAAATTATATAGAAATAAAGTAAGAATTAACAATAAAATGAATTTAATAGCAAATCAGCTTTGAGTATACATAATGAATTTATTCCTGTTTGATATTTGTTGTGTTTTGAAAATGTGACACTTGTTACAATATAATTTTAAATGAAAACATTTCAATTTTAAATGTTATGTATAAGAGCCTAAATATAAACTAAATACTAGTGTTGTAACAAATAGTATATTCGGCCAGGAGTGTAGCCGAATAGCCGAATATTTGGCCAAACTATTCGGCTCGATTAACGCACGTACAAAAACTGGCACGCAAACTGCATTATGGCAAGGATCCTGCTCTCTATTGGCCTGCTGTCACTACGCTTTGCCAATCGCGTTAATTCTTGGCAGTTGTAGCAGATAGACAAGAGTGTCATGGAAGTATGTGATAATGATGATAACAATGAAATGACCTACACATGTAAATAACGGAAAAAGAACAGAGAAGGACCGCGAAGTGAAAATGTGAAAATAAATAAGAAATTGAGTTGATAACATAATCGAACAAGTCGAGGCAGCTTATTGGCACGAAATTCGCGGCTGTCAATGCCAAACAATTGTTGTCATAGACTTCGGAAAGCTAAATGCTTGTAATGAAAGTCACTTAGCATGCACGAACGAAAGCCTGGGGCCGTTCGGGCTATCAAGCTGTCTCGAATCTGTGAAATCATAACTGTGACTTATATCGACATCCTATTGTCTCTTTTCTCCGTTATCACCAGGCTGTCACGTAATTGTAAAATGGGAACTCTATGACGGAAAAGTGACAAATCGAAAGTATCATGAGCGCATATTATGATGTATGCACAGGCATACGTGGATTAGAGCGATAAAGGAAAGAGAAAAAAGAGCAAAGACGAGCACTTAAAAAGGATAGGCAGGGTCAAACCCTCAGATGTGTGAGGATTCTCCAACGATAGATGTGTACGTGTGCTGATCTTTGTAATTATAAATTGTGAATACATGTGACTAATATTATTTTTTTTTTATTTTGTGCATGTTAATTTTGTGCATGTTACAAGTTATAAATAAATATAAACAAACAACACTAACTCGATAACATTAAATCTAAACAACAAAATGATTAATTTACTGTGTTTTTGTTATTTCTTACTCCTGTTTTTAGGTATTCGGTATTCAGCCGAATAGTGAAAAATAGGCCGAATACTGAATAGTAACCGAATATTCGTTACATCACTACTAAATACATAATAATATAGTGGCCTACATATTTTTGGACAGAGCCAAGGAGAGCAACTTTTTCCTTTTGTGAAGTGATCATCTATAGCAACATCCTCTCTGTCCAACATCTCACCAGTTCCTCTATAGATATCATATGGTCAGTTAAAAATAAAAGTTAAATTATTGTCTGAACTATTGTCCTACTCCAACTTTACTATCAAGACAAAGTAACATAGTCACATAGTCATGGTCAACTCCAAGTAGCTCAACAAGGTAGGACGAATTTACTTTATCCCATTTTGCATCAACACACATGACATTATAGTTATCTTGACACCACAAAGTGATCACATCCATCTCACCAGTTTTGTAGTGTCAAGTTGTCTATAATGTCATACATGTTGATGTGAAATGGGATAACATAAATTTATCCTATCTTGTTGAGGTATTTTGCATAAACCCTGATTACTTGTCTGTGTTGCTTTGTCTTATTGGTAAGGGTGGAGTAAGATAACATTCCAGAGAATAATTTAGCTTTTATTTTTAACCAGTCATGCAATATTTACAAAGAAAATGGCGAGATGCTGGACAGAGACGATGTTGCTATAGACAATCACCTCACAAAAGGAAAAAGTGGCTTTCCTTGTCTGTCCAAAAATATATAGGTCAGAGGTCATACTGTGGCACCCTCTGTACTGCAATAAGAATAAATTTCAAAAAAGTTTAATTAGACAAATTTAAAAGTCAAAATCACAACATTGTAGCTATTAAATTTAACTTGTTTTTTCCTTGTTTTAAGTTTATATTTTTCAATTAAAGTTCATAAGTTTATCAATTTATATTTTTCAAATCAGAAATAATATTCTCAAAAATATGTTTTAAATCAAAAATCATATGAGAAAACACCCTCTTAAATTAATTCACATTATCTTTCAAATAAATATCAAGCAGGCAAAACCTATATTAAAGATATAATGAAAATATAAAAATGAATAAAATATTTTCTGCCTTATTTAAAATTCAAATTATTCCATCATATTCTATATTAATATAGTTCCTTACTTTTAAATATATTCTATCATAAGAAATATAGTTTATATCAGTTTAATATATTAATTTTTTTATGAAAATTAACTTAAAGTATTATACAACAGATATTAAATTGTTGAAAAATGAGTTGTATAATGTTCATTTGGAGAGTGTTGAAATGATTGGAAGTGATTGGTTTGAACTGTAATGGATTTTTAAAAATACTTCAAACTTTTAATTTATTTTTAAATCTGTAAAGCAATCATAAAAAATAAGTAATGTATCTGTTTTATAATCAGTAATGTATTATATTTAGTGTTGTAAAAAATTTGTACAGACTAAATTTCATTAATAAATATCTTAAAANATCAATAAATTTTTAAAAATAAATATTATATGAAATATAAAATAACAGAATAATAAAAAGACTAACTTATAAAAACAATATCCTGCTGCAACAACTCCAAAGATAGCAACTGCACTACACCCAGCAACAATAGCTATAAAAAAAATGATTAAATTAAATATTTTACACTTATTCACGATCAATTTTTTAAAATTTATATATAAAATCTAAATACAAAATTTTAAAAAGTGGCAAAAATATATATATTTTTTAATTTTTTAAATTTATATCAAGATGATAAATACAATGCTAGAATTATAATGAATGCTTGAACAAAATTGTTATAAAATATCTGTATATATTTTTTTTAGTTATAATCATATTTTTAGTTGAAACTGATAATGTGACAAGTTGTTAATTGTAATTGTGTAATTGGAGCCTGCTTTCCAGTAGAGAGTACTAATGGTAGACAATCAGGAATCATTTGGCTTTTTAAAATTAAATCAAAAAGTCTTTGAAATTAAAACTAAATGTATTTTTGTTTTTAAAAATGTTGCTCTTATAACTTATAAAGAACTTCTCTTGAAGAGGAATATTAGGGTCAAAATTATTAGAGATAAAATATGATTATCAATGTCAAATTCAAAAGATAATTTTTCAAGGTGTGTAAACAGTATGACAGAATTGAAGGCTTTGGTGATATCTAATAAATCACAAATGTAGGAAGCTGTAATTCGAAGTTAAATAAAATAAAGTGTTGCATCTCAAGCATATTGCCTGTGGTAGAGCAGTGAGTGATGCCAGAATGTTAAGTAAAACTAATATGAGAAGTAATCAATAAATGGAATAATATAGACATGTTTCAAAAGTTTTTAGAATAACTGGGGCAAGAGAGATGTTATGAAAAGCAATAGGATGTTTTTTAGATAAGATGGATAAAACAGACATGGTCCACTGAGGAGGTACAAAGTAAGAGTCAAGAATAATGGAAAACAGATAAAGAAATATGGAAGCAGAAAAGGAAACCAATTTTTATAGAAAATTGAGAGGATAAGATCTGTGCTGTAATATGAAGTAGCTAGTGAATTCATTTCATTACATAAAGTTGCAAAAGAAGATAAAAGACAGAAGGAAGTGTATCCTAACTGCTTAAATTAGGTGAGCAAGGGAGCAAAGAACTGAAGGATGTTTCAGGATGGATATTGAAAAAGCAAGATTTGCTATTATTGCACACATATAAACATCCTTGTCATTAATAATAGATCTATGTTTGGAATTAGGTTTAGAGAACTTAGGAATAAAATCCGAAAAACCTTAGGGTCAAAGGTGAATTCTGTAACAATTTTATTGAAATAATTTGTGTATTGAATATTGCATTCTTTGTAATATTACTTAAGAGTAATATGATAAATGTATCAATATAAAGTTCTGGGATTACTGCTGACTTTCCATTTACACCAGGAAGATCTGATATTGTTGCAGTTTTTTCAAATAATGAGTATGCCACTTTTGAGACTTAAGATTGACTTTTTTATGTAGGAGAAATTTGTCTTTTGTGTACAAGAGTATTTCATAGGTTATTTGCATTTTTTGATTAATACTGATGGATGGGTTGAACAAAAAGGACCAGTCCCAATGACAAAAGAAAGTGGAAAAGATGGCCAATTAACAGCAAACCAGTTTGGGATGCAAATAGTCCTGTTGTCCTATGGTTATGTAGAGAAAAATTCTAAATTTTTGAAATGGCAATTAAAATTGGAAAGTAGTCAGAGTCAAAATCAGCAGTAGGACATGTGGTAATGTATGAATTGTAAGAAAAGACTAAGTCCAGATAGGCATGTTGTCTAGTCGGGAAAATTAACATGTTAATTAAAATTGAAGAAATAATTTTGATAATTATCAATGTAAAAGTATGCAGGTAAAAACAAAGACCCAAAATATTAAATAAATTGAAATTGCTGTAAATAATATTAATACTATTGAACCCATGAGGGATTCTAAGAGATAAAAGAAAACATTCAAAGTTCATAAATATATTAATGTGCTTGGGGTGGGGAGAATAAACCACTATGACTATGCTACAAAATCTATTAATTTTAATAGCAAGAATGGAATTTTGATATTTATATAACCTACTCATGATTATTGAGAAATTTACCACTTAATTTCCATATAAATATTATTTCACAAACACTGAATTAATAGAAAACTCAGTGTTTGTACATAATAATTTCACTGATTATCATATCATAACTAGGATCACATTCATTGTTTTCAATGCCTGCAAATTAAGCTGAGTAAGATTTATACTTAAATATTGGATTTATTGTGTTTCAAAATAGAAGCAATGATATAAAGGCTGATTTAGGAAATTTGATTCCCTTCAAACTTTGCTTCAGAACAAATTAACTCAGACTTTATGTAACACTTTTTGAGCTTGTTCAATGATGCCACTGACTGGCATCATTGAACAAGCTCAAAAAGTATTACAAATATATTACTGAAAAGCTCAAAAAGTATTACAAAAAAATGTTTACAAATATATGAATAAATATAAAGCTGTTAAGCAGGAGTTTAGACTTAATTGTCATGTTAAATTGTTTAAAAACTCAAAGAATGTTGAGGAAAAATTAAGTGACACATTTGTTTATGCTTGTAAACAGAATTCAATTGCTACATGTACTTTGTAAGTACCCAAAATCACAGCTATGACAAAACTTTTCTGTGATATTTCTCAATGACATAATATGATTAGGATTCCAAATATTGGTAGCTTACAACATTCACCAACCTGGACTTTTTCATAACAAATTTGGTCAAGATTGATCATGTGGCTTCAGAGGAATTTATTTAAATTCAATGACATTTGAGTGTAAAAAATGAGCTTCATTCACTCAGCTCAATTACTATAAAACTAAATGGTAATTTCAAGATTTCTTAAATTTATGTACANGATAGCAATATCTTATGTCAATTTGAACAAAACATCTTTTTTTATATGATATCTTTGTGAACAATGTTTTTGTTTCTTTTAAAGCAATCATTTGTGACTAACTTAATTAAATATAGTGTTAAGATATTCATAAATGTTGTGTTTACATGAATTGTTCTCTATTTTTATGTAAAACACAAATATTTTTAATAATTCTTGTTAAAAAAGTTACCTAATACATTAAAGTTTAACTTGAAAAATTCAAAATCTTATAATAATATTTTTGTTTAAATACAAAAACAATACATATATTATATTTTTCTTTTACATACCAACAAAATATACATCACTGAATCCTTTACTTTCATCTTTTTCAGTATTGGGTAGCTGTTTCTGATGGTAAGCTACTGGAGAATTATTTGCAGAATTAGTCACTGAAAATTCTGCTTGTTGAACTGGTGTGGGAGATTTCTTTTCTTCCTTGATTATATCTGAATTTGATACTGAATGGGTCTCTGAAAAAGGTAATCAATTATTTTTAAAAAAACACTTAAGTACTGTATATTTTGAAAAATAGCTAATAATATAATATTCTGATTAAAATATTTAACATAGAATTCTGATAATACTGCTTAAGTGAGAAAGAAACAGTTAAGCATGATTTTAATTGAATTTAATTTGTTTTTTGGACAAAACATTTGCTATAATATTTACTTTTACACAAAATAAATGTATAAACAACTTTATTGAAACAAAAAGTAAAAATAATAATCTGTTGACTGTTTTTGGGTTTATATCTTCAAAGAGATAATTTCTAACCTATTTTCAGCAATCAAGGATTATCTGTTTTATCAACCAATTAACTTATGTGGTTTTCAATTAAATTTGCTTCTGCTAAATAGAAATTAATGCACAAATAAAAGGGAATGTTGTTTATACATATTATAAAAACATTCTCTCATTTGATAGATTGAGTTGAAAAACTCTCAATATAAACGATGTAATTTTTAAACTATAACATATGATAAGGTCAAAGTAAGTAATATTAGCATCAAAGTAAGATATTTTTCTCTTGTCATTAAATTTATTGATCTGTGCATCAAAGACTTAATCATAAATTTGCAGTTAAGACTAATAATTTTTATGTTATAAACAAAATGCACATTAAACTACATCAAAAAAATTTAAATTATTCAATCTATATATATAATCGAGATGGGTTGATGATGATAATAATAAGCGCAGAGCCCAAATGGTTAGGAGTTGAAAGTTGAAATTTGGTATACAGATAGGGTACGTCACGAAAACGCACACTAAGAAGGGATTTTTTGAAATTCCCCCGGGAGAGAGAGACAGGATTAAGGCTTAACACTTCCATCAACAATGGAAGTGTTAAGTAACAATGGAAGTGTTACATAACAATGGAATTGTTAAGAGAAAGCGACGTGCAAGACGCAGATGCAGATTTTTCATTTTTGCGGGAAATCGAATATATTTTTAGACCCATCTAAAAATTCTCTGATCAGTCCGGAAACAGGGGAACCCAATTCTTACATTCTGTGAAAATGGGAAAGGTTGACTATAACATAATAATGTTAATCTTCCCTACCGTTACTTTTGCCCAAGCAACGCCGGGCCTACCTGCTAGTTTTAATATAATATTAAGGATGTGTATGTTCAAGATAATCTACATTTAAAAATAAATATTNTAATTTTAAAAAAGTAAGCAAGCCATTTAACTTAATATAAAATACATACTGTAGAAATCATCTACTTTTCCTTCTCCTTCAATATCTTCTATAGCAGAAGGCTTATATACTTGTACAGTAATGTGCCCTTCTGGTGTTTTTGTTTTGGAATGTGATTGGATAGCACCTCTATCATTTGTTTCAATTTCTTTTACAGGGAAATATTCCTGACTAGATAATTCATCATCACCTTTAAATTGTTTCCTTTGCAAAAAATATAATGGATCCTCCCTATAATTATTCTGATAAAAATTTTTCTGTTGAATTGGTTGACTTTCCCAAAGACGCTTATACCAAAATGAATTTTTTTGAGGAAGAGATGACGGTACATCAGCTGCATATTCTTGTTCATTTAATCTATGTCCTGTAATTTAAAAAATAAAATAAAATTTATATACTTACTAAAACAAGAAAAAATATTTAAAAAATAGTAGTTAATAAATAGACCTACTGACTGAAAATATCAAAAAACTTTATAAAATATTTAAACAATAGCTAATGAAATGCAGATTACCCTACAATTTTTTCAAATCTCATATCAGAAAAACTTTGATATTAGGATTTGAAAATCTCTGAATTTAGAAATTGATGTAAATATATTTTTTGTAATATTTTTATATTGTGGACTGTGGTAGTCCACAATTTAAAATTTCAACAAGCCAATGGAGTATTGGTATAGTTTCCCAAATATCTGTCAAGTAAGATAAAAATGCTGACATCTTCTTATAAGTTTTAGTCTTTAAAAAAACATCTTATTCTCACTTCTTCATTTTACAAAACAAAAAATTTACATAGTGTAACACAGTTTTGAAAAGTGGACACATTTTATAAAGTTAAACTATTTTTTATGTCAGGACAGATTGTCACAATTGATAGTAAATTATATACACAAAAATACAGTATTTGGATAGACAAAACAAGATTTCTAAGAACTAAAAACATTATATAAATCTCATTTTTTTTTTATCTAAACAAATACTTTTCAGAAATAGTAAGTAAAGTAAGATAAGATGCTATAAAATTTCTTTCCTTCTATATATTATTATATGAGATGATCTATCATCTATCATTATATTTGTAGATGACAGATATTGTTAAATTGATCTACACATATCAAATCACATTTAAAACTTTATTGAATCAAATATTACACTTAGAAAAGGCATTTTGGCATTTATTGACTCTCAACTAGATAAGTGTGAACAGTGATATTTAGAATTAAATATTATATAAAATAAATGCATGGTAGCTGTTTCTGATGGTAAGCTACTGGAGAATTATTTGCAGAATTAGTCACTGAAAATTCTGCTTGTTGAACTGGTGTGGGAGATTTCTTTTCTTCCTTGATTATATCTGAATTTGATACTGAATGGGTCTCTGAAAAAGGTAATCAATTATTTTTAAAAAAACACTTAAGTACTGTATATTTTGAAAAATAGCTAATAATATAATATTCTGATTAAAATATTTAACATAGAATTCTGATAATACTGCTTAAGTGAGAAAGAAACAGTTAAGCATGATTTTAATTGAATTTAATTTGTTTTTTGGACAAAACATTTGCTACATAAATTGCATTTTATTATTGATTGTTTTTTTTTATTGATTTTTCTTAATGTTTCCAGTAAATATGATTTCTTCAGAGAATATAAAATCTATTCAAAATTAATAAATCATTAATAAAAATAATAAGTTTAATGAAAATTGAGAATACTAAGTTAATTCCCTAAAATATCAAAAATTTAAAATAAGTTATGTTCTAAATGTTCAATATTTAAAGAAAATAAAAAAATTCAATTTTTCTCTTAAATACAGAGAGGAAGCAGCCTGTATAAAAAAAAGTATGAATTTTTTCCTCACTCATATGCTGAAACATAAATCAACATCTATTTAAAACATCTGCAATTATTATTCATATGTAGCAGATTCTTTATTTTTATTTTTTTTAATTACAGTATTTAAATTAATAGTTTTAGCAATTTCCAAGTTTTTTAAGAAAAGAAATAGCAAAAATAAGCTTTAATAAGACCAATAAAAAAATAATTTATTATGACAAGTATTGCACAATTAAAAAATTTAATTATTACTTAATTAATTTGTATAAAACAATCAAATTAACTAAATATATTATAAATTTAAAAATTTTAAGCATCATTTAACATAATAATAAACATTAACAAATTCAATATTGATCAATACATAAAAAATTATATGTTTAATGTAATTTTATATTTTATTTCATTCAAACAAAAGTTATGAAATGTTGATATGTTTTTGATTTTTACTTATAATAAAAATATTTTTAAATTTAAATGTTTTTGAATCTATTTTTTTGATATATAAANATAGTTAGTGGAGAATAATTAAACATCCTCTTCAGATAAAAGAAACTATAAAATATCTTAAATAGATATTCATTTCATAATTTTTCCAAAATTTCAAGTAGCAGTACAGTTTACATTCTTTTTACAATTCTGTATAACCTACAAACTAAAGATATTTCATAACTACTGTATTTTTTTGGCATATAAGATGACTTTTTAACCCAGGAAAATCTTCTCAAAAGTCGGGGGTCATCTTATACACCGGGTGTCGTCATATATGGCAAGTATATCCCAAACTTTATATTTTAACTGTAAAAGTTGGGGGTCGTCTTATACACTGGAAAGTATGGTGTAGAAAAATTATGAGAAAATTCGTTAAAAGTTTTAAAAAAGATGCAAAATACTTCTACTTTATGATATTATCAGGAACAATTCACAAGGGAGGTAGAGGTACCAGTGATATAAATAAATTAAAATTTATTTACTTGAACTTCGAAAACGTCTATAGCAATGTGCTTCATTGATATATATCAAATTTGTAAGGAGCTGTATTTTAATTGGAAGAATGACAAGTAAGATGAGCAATAAAACAGAAAAACGAAAAGATAATTGTAAATAATTTTAAACTTTTACATATGTCAATTTGCATTTTAAAGTAAAAATAAACTTTTATAATATTGAGCAATTTTATTAACATGACATATATTATAAAAATAGATTTAAAAAAAGTAAGCAAGCCATTTAACTTAATATAAAATACATACTGTAGAAATCATCTACTTTTCCTTCTCCTTCAATATCTTCTATAGCAGAAGGCTTATATACTTGTACAGTAATGTGCCCTTCTGGTGTTTTTGTTTTGGAATGTGATTGGATAGCACCTCTATCATTTGTTTCAATTTCTTTTACAGGGAAATATTCCTGACTAGATAATTCATCATCACCTTTAAATTGTTTCCTTTGCAAAAAATATAATGGATCCTCCCTATAATTATTCTGATAAAAATTTTTCTGTTGAATTGGTTGACTTTCCCAAAGACGCTTATACCAAAATGAATTTTTTTGAGGAAGAGATGACGGTACATCAGCTGCATATTCTTGTTCATTTAATCTATGTCCTGTAATTTAAAAAATAAAATAAAATTTATATACTTACTAAAACAAGAAAAAATATTTAAAAAATAGTAGTTAATAAATAGACCTACTGACTGAAAATATCAAAAAACTTTATAAAATATTTAAACAATAGCTAATGAAATGCAGATTACCCTACAATTTTTTCAAATCTCATATCAGAAAAACTTTGATATTAGGATTTGAAAATCTCTGAATTTAGAAATTGATGTAAATATATTTTTTGTAATATTTTTATATTGTGGACTGTGGTAGTCCACAATTTAAAATTTCAACAAGCCAATGGAGTATTGGTATAGTTTCCCAAATATCTGTCAAGTAAGATAAAAATGCTGACATCTTCTTATAAGTTTTAGTCTTTAAAAAAACATCTTATTCTCACTTCTTCATTTTACAAAACAAAAAATTTACATAGTGTAACACAGTTTTGAAAAGTGGACACATTTTATAAAGTTAAACTATTTTTTATGTCAGGACAGATTGTCACAATTGATAGTAAATTATATACACAAAAATACAGTATTTGGATAGACAAAACAAGATTTCTAAGAACTAAAAACATTATATAAATCTCATTTTTTTTTTATCTAAACAAATACTTTTCAGAAATAGTAAGTAAAGTAAGATAAGATGCTATAAAATTTCTTTCCTTCTATATATTATTATATGAGATGATCTATCATCTATCATTATATTTGTAGATGACAGATATTGTTAAATTGATCTACACATATCAAATCACATTTAAAACTTTATTGAATCAAATATTACACTTAGAAAAGGCATTTTGGCATTTATTGACTCTCAACTAGATAAGTGTGAACAGTGATATTTAGAATTAAATATTATATAAAATAAATGCATAGTTTTTTAAATAAAATAAACATTAAACAAAATCAGAACAGAATTTACAAGCAATAAAATAAATTGTAGTTGATAAGTATGATAATGTAACAAGAATTGAATTAAAATATAATTTGAATAGCAAAATTAGGAAAATAAAATTTCAAAATTTTATTCAAAATTTGCTAGGTTATGATTTTGATGATTTTTAAGATATAATTAATTTCTGCTTGTTAGCTATTTATTTCTTAAGTTTTTTGAAAAGAAAACAAAAACATACTGAAACATTTTTATTTATTTTTAAAGGAAAGCAAAGGATGATATTTATGAAACTTTATCATCAGAATCTAAATCTAATGATTATTTGCAATCTCACTTTCACATTGATAAGAGAATCTAATATCTTGTTATAAGAATGATTATAGGTCTAGATATTACTGATGAAAAGTACTAATTTTTACTGATGAGAAGATGATTATGGAAAATTTAAGAAATTATAATCAAAACTTCTTGTACATTTGTTAGTATAGTTAGTGGAGAATAATTAAACATCCTCTTCAGATAAAAGAAACTATAAAATATCTTAAATAGATATTCATTTCATAATTTTTCCAAAATTTCAAGTAGCAGTACAGTTTACATTCTTTTTACAATTCTGTATAACCTACAAACTAAAGATATTTCATAACTACTGTATTTTTTTGGCATATAAGATGACTTTTTAACCCAGGAAAATCTTCTCAAAAGTCGGGGGTCATCTTATACACCGGGTGTCGTCATATATGGCAAGTATATCCCAAACTTTATATTTTAACTGTAAAAGTTGGGGGTCGTCTTATACACTGGAAAGTATGGTGTAGAAAAATTATGAGAAAATTCGTTAAAAGTTTTAAAAAAGATGCAAAATACTTCTACTTTATGATATTATCAGGAACAATTCACAAGGGAGGTAGAGGTACCAGTGATATAAATAAATTAAAATTTATTTACTTGAACTTCGAAAACGTCTATAGCAATGTGGTTTATTGGATCATCTACAATATAATGTCATGTACAGTTTAATAAAAGATCCTTATAAATTATTTACATATTTTTAATTTTCAAGTTATTCTGGATCCACCACTGGATATTATTATGTAAATAATAAGTATTTAGAATAAAATATAAGTATATATTGAAAATACAGTCAAAGCAAAAGTCAATAAAATGATTTAGACAAGTGGTTCTCAATGTATGATCCATAGGTATCTAGTAAACCACAAGCATGTACTATGTGGTCTGCAGACTGACTTGGTCATTTTTTGCAAAATGTGATTTTTATGTTATTTAGCCAGAGGAAAAAACATTTTCACATATTGCATAGCTTTAACACTAGGTTACTGTTACTTTTCATAGACACAATGTAGTGACACTTTTTAAACATTTGGCAGATTATTCATCTTTTATTTGGTTGGCCAAATAAAAAATGAATAATCTGCCAAGTGTTTAAAAAGTGTCACTACATTGTGTCTATGAAAAGTAACAGGAAAATAAACAACACAGTTTCATTGGAATAAAAAGAAATTAGGTTACTGAATAGCCAAAATATTATGGCAGCCATCTGAGGTGATAATTACAAGATAAAAAGTGGACCAGAGCATACATGGTTCATCTGTGACTCAGTTTAAGTGGTCTGCAAGTTGAATAATGTTGAGAGTTGTTAATTTTGACTCATTGGTTGCTTAATCTATATTTTATTAAGCTCAGTTTATTTCAGGATACACATTTTGTTACTTTTTTAAAATTAAATATTTAAGAAATTTCTCCTATATTCATTTATGTTCTAATGAACTTAATAAATATTCAATTATAATAGACCAGTGATTTCCAAACTTTTCTAGTCACCACCCCCTTGGTTCCATAAAGTTATACCCAATACTCCCTAACCCATTTTCCCTAGTGTGAGAATGGCTTGGAAAACTTTCTATGAACCTCACACTTTGTGTCTTTACAAAACATTGTTCTCAATATCTGGAAACTTGTTTTCTGGATTTCTTCTTATCTGTTTTAACAGAGAAAAGGGAAAGGTTGTCAGTGACCCCAACCTTTGCCTATGGTCAGTGCACTCCCCTGCCACCCACTTGCTTCTTTTTGCTCCCCTAGATTTACTCACTGCCCACAGAGGGGCAGTAGCACCTACTTTGGGAACCACTGTAATAGACTATTCAACCTCTCAGCAGTGAGCGACAAATATATTCATCAAGAGTAATTGTGTGGTAGTGGTGAGGAACATATATATAGGTCAAATTCTTTTGGGTGTATTGCCAAAAACTACCACAAAAAAAAATTCACATAAAAAATGAATTACAGTATGTAACAATAAAAAATACTTTTCTTTACTAGACATAACTGTTTACAAAATCTTTTTCCGAAACAGTAATGAAAAAAAAATGCATGGAAAAATATGCTAAAAATTTCGCACATTTATTCTCCACTACTATGGGGTAGCACCATACCTGACTATCCCACTGTTGAAAGTTAATACATTCTGCATAAATAATTCATCCAAATTTCTACATTTAACTAGAACTTTCTTATTTTTATTTTAGTTTGCAACTTTTTATTATTATTATCTATATGTATATATTAGTGATGTAACGAATAGTATATTCGGCCTCAGGCCGAATACCAAATATTCGGCCAAACTATTCGGCTTGATTAACGCACATACGAAAATTGGCGCGCAAATCGCATTATATGGCAAGGATCGCGCACCCTGCTCTCTATTGGCCCGCTGTCACTACACTTCTTTAATCGCGTTAATTCTTGACAGTTGTAGCAGACAGACATGAGCGTCATGGCAGTATGTAATAAGTGATGATATCAAATGTGGATAACAATGAAATGACCTACACCTGTAAATAGAGAGGTTGCAGCCGACGTTTTCAACGCGAAAACGTGTACATCGGACGTTCAGCACCGCCTTCCTGTAAGCCTAGAAGCTTGACAATGGCGTTTGGAACGTCGAGCATGATTCCGCTGACGTTCCAAACGCCATTGTCAAACGTCTAGGCTTACAGGAAAGCAGCGCTGAACGTCCGACATACACGTTTTCGCGTTGAAAACGTCGGCTGCAACCTCTCTAATAACGGAAAAAAAGAGAGAAGGACCGCGAAGTGAAAATGTGAAAATAAATATTAAATTGAGTTGATAACATAATCGAACAAGTCGAGGCAGCTTATTGACGAGAAATTCGCGGTCATCAATGCCAAATAATTGTTCTCGTAGACTTCGGAAAGCTAAATGCTGTAATTAATTTAATTAATTAATTTAAATAATTTAGACCTACTGGAAACGCATCTGCACGGTAAGCAGGAGTTGCGGGTTCATGTCCCACTCCGGGCCGATTTTTTCTTCCAGTAGGTCTAAATTATTTAAAATCAATTAATTAAATTATAATTATAATTATTAAAGTTAATATGAGATGGCTAACGTCTACCTCTAGTGAGAAATTGGTTTATAATTTATGTAATAGCCGTAAATAGCCCGATATCATTCGGCAGTTGTTGATATTTACATGGAAGTTAATCATTCGAGTACTGCACAAGAAAAACTGAAAAAAATTCAGAAAAAGCTGGGAATAGCCAAGCATAATTTAGTGCAAGATATAACAACACGGTGGAATTCTACCTTTTATATGTTAGAAAGGCTTCTTGAACAAAAACGAGCTATTTCCCTCTATCTAATTGATACAGTAAACATATCTAATCTGACTGCAGAGTAGTGGGAGATTGTAGACCAATTACTGAAATTATTAAAGCCATTTGAAGAGATAACAAAAATTACTAGCTCAAACTATTCATGCTTATCTGAAATTATTCCCCATGTTGTTACTCTTAACCGCTACTGCAACAAGGCCGTGTCTTCTGACCTAGCACCTAAATTAAAGTTTATGGCGATCGCCATGCAACAAGGGATAAAACAACGTTTTTCACAGATTGACGATAATAAAAACTACCTGATATCAACTTTGTTAGATCCAAGGTTTAAGACGAATTTCTTCACGAACCAACTGCAAAAAGAAAGAGCCCGGCAGTACATTCTGGTTGAAGATTTAGTTTCAGACTATGATACCAGCAGCGATGAAAGCGTGCGTTCTTCT